GCCAGGCTGCCAGCCGAACCCCGCTCGGGGCTCAACGCCTGCAGCCCGGGGCGAGGCGCCGGGGCCGGCACAAAGGCGCGCCGGAGCTTACCGGGGGTCTGGGAACAAAGGGCTAGAGAAATCAGACAATTTTTCCCCTCAACTTGATCTCATCTTTTTCTTTGACGCCCCCACAGCTGGAGGTGGAATCGCTGCGGGGAAGCAAGTCAGGCAGGAAAACGTGCGACTGTGGCGGAGAGAGGCAGGGCGCGCGGGCACGCACGCTTCCCCGGCGCCGCGGCCCCGCGAAGCGGGCTTTATTCCGCGCTGACCGAAAAAACTAATGACGAAGCCTGACCCCAGCAGGTGCTCTAGTCGCATGGGCTCTTTTCTGGTGTCCTCGAGGTTAATACGCACGGGGGGAAAATAGAGCAACAAAGCAAAAACCCATTTCAGAACACATCAACCTTCATGTATATTTTTTCCAGATTTAGAGTAAAGAGGCATCTTTTAGCGCGGGGCCAGTGGGAGCTCGGGTGACGACAGTGAATTGCCACAATCGAAGCACGTACCAGAAGGAGGAGGAAAAAAAATAGGCTTTCCGTCCCGGAAAGCAAATGCCGAGCGAGCTTTGCAATTTAGCGCGTTCCCCCCGCCCCCGGCACCCGCGCGCGGACGCGACCGCACGCAGCGGCTCTGAAACGCTTTCAGCCCGTCATTTGCAAAGTCATGCATCTAATGGGACGCCGAGGCACGGCGCGCCTGCCGGCCTCCCCGGGCACACGTGCGACAAGGTAAAAAGCAACGCCGGGCAGAGCGAGCTTCCCAGGACGCGTCGTCACCGCAGCCGTCCCCAAAACCTGTCCGCGCTTTCCAAAATCGGGAGGTCTTTAGAAGAAAAGCCGTCCTTTTCCGAACGGACAGGCCAGCAAAACTCTTCCTTTGCTTTGTTTAATCTGGATCGTCCAAACATTTCGGTAGTTTCAAAAGGCTCCGTCTCAGTTTGAATGCTTTGCCGCTGTCTAGTTTAACGCCGCACGAACCGAACGATGCCCCCGAAAAACGCCCGGCCTGCTTCTGCCCCCCGAAACCTCCAGCTGGGTAACGCACAAGGTACTGCACAGTGTGGCGTTTCTCCAAACTGATCCTCTCCCGCAAACGTGCTAAGCTGTGATAAATCAGCATTTTCCCACAAAACGCAGGCGGCCAGAGCTGGAGCCCCGGGCCGCCCCGGGCCGCGGGGGCTCTGCCGGCTCCCCAGGGGTCCCCCCGGCCTCCCCGCTCTTC